AAGAGCCTAACAAACTGACCGGGGATTACCTTAATGGCGGCCTTTAGCGCTGCAACCTCAACGAGGTCCAGGCCAGGCGCCTTTTTGACTTTCAGGGTTTTCGCGACGGCGACGATTTCTGCCTCCGTGAAGAGCGGGGCATCATCTCCGTCGGGCGCGATGAACGCGCTTCCCCTGATATCACGCTGCATCGGCGTGTCGTCGTTCGCCCGGTCATCAGGGACGTGCACCTCCAGCAAGTGCCTGGCGGTCTCCTCTATGGTGGTGGTCGAGGAGCCATCATCGCGGCGGAGGCTGCTGAGCACTTCGTCCACTCGGAGCTTCCGGGCCTCGCGTTTGTACACGAATCCCCATGGCTCCGAGTTTCCCACCTCCGTCACGAACTTCCGCCAGCTGTCGCCCTTCGCCTTCCGCACCTCCCTCGTGTGCCTCCTCAAGGAAGAGAGGTAGGTACTTCGGCCGGAGGCACGGAGCGGCTTAGCATTCTCCCGCTGGAATGCACGCCGCGCCCTATAGACGTCCTTCTTCAGGATCGGCAATTGTCTTGTCCACCACGGGTTGGACTTCTTAAACCGCCTCTTCCTGGGCATTGCCCGTTCCGAGGCTTCAACTAAAATTTCAGAAAAGGACCTCGCGAAGCCCTCCACCCCCCCAGCGGAATCCAAACTGAGGACCTCAAGTCTCGACGCCGAAAGGTCGATGAGGCTATCGGCGTACTTCTCCCAGTCGGCACGACTCGCGTCGAACCGAGAGCTGGAGGTAGGCCGGTCATTGCCTCTGACTCTCGGCACCCTCAGACGGATGTCCAGGGCACTGTGGTCGCTCGTCGTCCAGTCGCACCTGACCTTCCACTCGCCGAAGAATTGGCTCATGGCCGGAGTCGCCAGGGTCACGTCAATATATGACGATCCCCATGACGTCCAGTATGTCGGCGACTGTCCGAGAGCGTTGAGGATTTTCCATCCGCAAGCGCGGATGAATTCCTCGAGCTTCGCGCCCCTATCGTTCACCATGCGGTCACCCCACATCGGGGATCGCGCGTTGGCGTCGATCCCTACCAACAATCTCTTCCCCCTCAGCGAATGAAACACCACCTCGAGGTGCCTGAGGTGCCCCTCAATCTCGTCGCTGTACTGGAAGTAGCACGATGCGACGTAGAAAGAGAAGCCGGGCGCCCGCACTTCCGCGCACGCACAGTGCGCGGTGCTGAGCTGCGAGATCTCCATGATATGGAACGAGGGGTTTGAAACTGCCACTGCAGCCCACGGACGTTCCGAGCGTGCAGCGGCCACCCTCGTTCCCTGCCCTAAACCGAGAATGGCGAAGCTCGAGCCTTGCTTCCGGACGTGCATTTCCTGCAAGAGCAGGACGTCCAGTCGCTTCTCGGCTACGAGCTGACGGACTTCGCCACTGACCACAGCTGAACGCCTCATGTTCAGCTGCATAACCCTAATACCCGTGGACCTTACCAATGGAGAGGAAACGACCGAAGATATTTCAGGGGACATTGCGAGCGAGCGATCACAATTCGCGATCGCGGACGCGGACGCGGACCCTATACCGATTCTTCCTGTACTTTGCCTCACTCGACCCGGCGTGGGCATTTCGTCGCACCTAACCAGCCTAACCGAGACAGCACGAAGGCTGCGACCTTGAGACGAATCTTCCACGGCGGTAGCCCTAGCCACCGGCGCGCCCACCGCCGACGCGCCGGCTTGGAAGTCATCCCGTGGCCCATCACTCGATGACGACCTGAGGGGGCCTGGGACCACAACCCCCTCATGCCGGCGCGACGTTACCGACCCGCCGCAGGTAACGAATTTGGTAGACAAGCCCATATTGAATTGAGTTAAATTAAATGGGGAATATGTCGGGACCCCCCAGCCCGGCGGCCCTTCAAGCACGCTGCCTCATGAGAGGCGAGAAGAGGAAGAAGAACAAGAACAAAAAGAAGTAGAGAAAGAAGAAGAAAATGAAAAGAAAGGGGTCACAGTGGGGGATGGTCAGAGCCATGCCTACACCGCACTGCTCCCCTGCGGACCTGAAAATAAATATACCCCCGGTTCCGTCGACCCTGCCGCGGGAAGCGGAGGGGCGCAGGGCCCGGTAGGTTGCTGTAACGGCCCCTGCCTTCCCTCCCTGCATCAGGGATGCAGCAAGGGAAAGCGGAATGCGATAGGCCGCCAAGGGGTAGGGGAAAAAGGAAGGAATTCGGAGAGTTTAGGTTAGCGCCGCTAGTGCCATGGCGGTCCCGCCCAGGTTCGATGGCCGCGGCGCCGAGCCAATTATGTGCTCGCGGCAAGCTGTGTTTTCTGCTATACCTGAAAGAGATGTACCCCCGATTCCGTCACCCCTTCCGCCGAAGCGGAGGGACGAGGGACCCGGAAGGTTGTCAAGGTAGCCTAAGTCCCCCCTCCCAGCATCGGGGATGCAGCAAGGGGGGGCGGAAGGCTATGGGCTGCCAAGGGTAGGAGAAGAAGAGGAAATGGAGGATTTGGTACTTCGCCGCTAGCGATATGACGGTCCCGCCCAGGTTCGACGGCCGCAGCGCCGAGCCAGTGCTCGCGGCAATGCTGTGTTTTATACTTCACCTGAAAGAGAAAAATACCCCCGGTTCCGTCGCCCCTTCCGCCAAAGCGGAGGAACGCAGGGCCCGGTAGGTTGTTACGGCAGCCCATGCCCCCCTCTCTGCATCAAGGATGCAGCGAGGCGGGGCAAAGGGCCACCTAGGGTTGGGGAAAAGGAAAGGGAAGGTGGTGTGGGTTCTGTGCCGCTAGCGCCATGACGGTCCCGTCCAGGGCCGACGGCCGCGGCGCCGAGCCAATTATATGCTCGCGGCAATGCTGTGTAGTTCTGCATCTGAAAGAAAAAGCCCCCGGTTCTGTCAGCCCTGCCGCCGAAACGGAGGGACGCAGGACCCGGTAGGCTGCGAGGCAGTCCCTGCCTCCTCCCCTACATCATAGATGCAGCAGGAGGAGACGGAGGGTGATGGACTGCTCAAGTGTGGGATACCTCTCCGGGAGGTGTAAGGAAGGAAGGAAGAGAGGGAAGGGTAGCGACGCGGCTGGGCGGCACCTTCTCCGGTCCCAGTACCC